GATTATAATATTTGCCTGCTTACTCTAGGGCTTTTCCCATCACCATGTAAAGCAAGACTTCAATATCTCTTCTGTATAATTTTCAGAAGTTCACACACAGTTTATACACTCTGTATAGCTTTAACATTCACTCCTGGCATATTTGGCTGAAAATTCATACACAGCTATTTCTGCATTATAACTGTCTTTCCTCTTCTGTTGGTGCCATTGCTTCCCCCACACCCCTCCCCTCTTCCTTTTTCTTCCTCTTTCATACTCTAAAGACCTTTCAATCTATATTTGGCCCTTTATTTGTCTCCATATCTAGTTAGCTTTGCAAGCAATTTCTTTCATTTGCTAGCACCATTCCAATATTGTTTCCTTTCTTCTGTCTTTTTACCCCCAAAGCTGGTTAGAGGCTTTTTTCAAGCCATTGCTCTGGAGAGCACTACCAGACATTCTTAGGTAGGCTGAATGCATTCAGTCCAAAAGCACATTATTCCCTCACGATAACTGCTACTGATGATGGGACATTTGGATGGTGTGACCTCCTTGTCCTCCCTCACTACTGTTCACTGTTAATTTGTGTGATCTGGAGCATAGGTAGAGGGAACAAGGAAGAGGAGATAAATATCTACTGCAAATGAGGGAGGTGACAACAGTGAAGAAAACTGGGAACAACTCATCCTGAAACTGAAGCATCTGGATTTACAAATTAATGTAATTTCACTATTTCTATGAATGCCACAGTGTGTGACCTTAACCATAAACAAAGAGAATGGAAATTAGGTTTAAAATGGAAAGCTATGTACATGGTTCCTGTTCTAACACTCTCCCTGGCAGAAAAAGCAGGAAGATTGTGCTTAGATTTCTCAAGATATTAAACATGTGGTAGTTGTCTCAAATCTTGTTAATACAGCTATGAATATGCCTTCTGAGGAGCAACTATGCTGCTTTTCCTTTTTATTTTTTGTGAGGAGAAAGCACATCTTTTGTCTCCTGCATTTTCCCACCTAAAAAGTACATAGCTTGAAGAAATTTTCCAATTTCCTTGTTTAATTGATTAAACTGAATATCAGCAGATTTAAGTGGTTGAGAGCTGAACACGGTCACCTATGTCAAGCTGCTTGCACAAGTAAATATTTGCTGGAGTAGGTCCTGTATTTGCTAACTTTAACATTATAACATGAAGAAGGAACAGTAGAATTTATCATGAAAACTGCAAAACTTTTCATTTTACCAAATCACATTCTAACCTGCATCCATATCTATGCAAAGCAGGTGCCATTTAAAATTCAGAACACTGTCCATAGTCTAAGAGAAAGTAGTTAAAAGGTCCCACTGACCACAGTGATGAAGCAAAAATATTATCAAGTTCTCTTCAGTGACAACTCTTTGTCTGCTTGCTTTTCAACTTGGGAGATACTTACAACTTCTAAGCTACAATTTCTAACATCAATCCCTCACATCTGCTCACTGTGGTTACAACTCTGTCTTTGATAAAATGATAAATTTATCATACCTTCTATCTTCTTTTAGTCAAGCAGGAGCTAGGGGCTGTTTTGAAACTGAGTTGAGTAATCAAAATGCAGAAGAAAAAAAAAAAGCAGGAAAGAGTTTAAATGCATGTGCTACTTTGGCTACAAATGGGTGATTTTCTCCCATAGGGTGCCATACATCTGTTCCAGTTCTATTATCTCATATCCCAGGATTATCTGTTCTGTCTCTGACTCGTGGCTCTTGGATCTGCAATACTATGCTTGACATCAATTTGGCTCATGAAATATTATCTTTCCAATTATAAATTAATTCATCCTTTGAAAAAGTAGCATCCCACTTTCAAATGAAATTGTTTTTAAGAAAATCACACTTCAAAACATCAAGCACATGTCTGTCTGCTTTCATAGAGAATTAAGAATTCTGACATCCTGAAATCATTTTAGATAGTCATCATGTGATGCAAAATCATCTGCTTTGAGAGCTGTATTTAAAAACAAGCAAGTTTGTCTAAATAATATGAGAAGTAGCCCAACCCTTTACATTAACCTCAAAACACCATTAAATTGAAGTTCGAAGAAGTTCAGCCAGTCTCTGCACGATTCCCTCACCCACAAGTATTTTAATGTACCTCAGCATCTTGATTTTAGAGAGAACTGGAATGCAATACAAGAAACTTGCTATTCAGCAGACACCATAATACACATAGGCAGTCTACTTGCCATATTTTTCATCCTAATCACTGAAAGAAGTGAAGATACAACCTTTATGAAGTGTCAGAAACTATAAATTGCAGAAAAGCAAACAGCAAAATTCAGACTTTACCAGGTTCCAAATCACTACGTGATAGATGAAAAACAATCAGAGCAGTAAGAATCAAAAAGAAAAACCAAAAAAACAATTCAACCAGCAGAATGAAAATGAAATAATTATGACTTCTCATAGCCATATTAGAGACTATTAAGTGAAAGACCTTACGCAAATACTTAGTGGAAATTTACATATAATATTATCCTCTTTCTGTGCATAGCAGTCAATTAATGATTATTCTACATGCTCATCTGTGAACAGAACTGGTAAATAAGGGGAGTTTCCCTGCTTAATTCTATAACTAGAAATATATTTATTTAAATGAATGTATAATAATTTATTTAAAATACATTTATTTTTCTTCAGCGCTTATAATCACTAAATCACATTTTAGAATTGAAGACAGTGGTAAATGTGCCTGCACTCTTTGTCAGGACTGGACCTACTGAAATTCCTGCATGGAAAATAGACTCTAATATAGAAGGCTGCAAAACAGGGTTTATACGCAGACATAAAAATCACAAAACTGATCTTGTATTTCTTCTGTGGATACAAGAAAAGAATTACATGAAAATGTTGCAAGTTGCTCAAAGGGAAGATTCCTGATAAAATTGCAAGCATCCGTCACTAAACTGGGAGTCAATCACCATATGATGGTCTCAGGCATGACAGCTACTGATTATCACAGCACATTTGTTTAGAGTAAAGCCACTGTTGTGCTTATTATCCCTAACTTCACTGAGTAAATTTGTTTTTCACCCAAGATCTCAAGAATCTCTCCAATGGGGTTAATAGGAGTTCCTTCGTACACTTCAAGTGCTTTGGATGTTTTGTATGCATCATACAAGTAGTAAAGAAAATGCACATAAAGAATGACACAAGCAACATTGTTAAACAGTGTACCAGAGAATTAAGGTACAATTTAAATGTGCTAGGTGTTCTCTTGACTTCATTTTCAGTCTCCCAGATGATTGTTTCTAGTGAGGAAGACATACGTAACTGCTCATTTTTGGCACTTGCAGTGGGTCAACACTGCTCAGCTATGAGCGTCTTCTCGTACTCAGGTTTCATGAACCATGTTGAGACTTAAAAAAAAATAAATAAAAAAAAGAAGGAATGGTTACTTCCAAATAGGACCAATGTTGTTTATATGGAAGGCTATTTCTGACATTTGTGTTCTCAAGTTCATGCTTGCCATTTGACCAATGCCTCAGATCCAAGGCTCCTGTCTCTGAATGAAAGAAAGGGCTTCAGCCTTGAGACTATAGCTGGATTATGAGCACAGGCACACTGCCCTACTTTGTATTTACCCACATGTGTGAAAATGATAGTATTATCTTCAGTGGCACATACCAGCTGCAGGGGCCAACACAGCTAATGGACGTTTGTGGAGATGCAGGCAGACTGGGATGTGGCAAGTTTCAGTATGCTGGTTGAGGACATCACAATTTCTTATTTGCTGAACTTCTGCATTCATGACAGCAACCGCGGTGGAGATTGCTTTTGATTTTCCTCTCTATCTCAGTGCAGTACGCTAGCCAGCAACACTGCAGCTCTTAAAGAGTGTTCTCCAGCACAATGACATATTTTCAAGATGACAGCATTATGAACTGTTCCAAAGGAGCTATTTGGCTTTTAAGATGACTGCTCTAGAAAGAATCCTCTGGCTTAACAGCACCAGGAAAAGGGCAAGGGAAATACAGATGCTGCAATCTGGTTAAGGAAATGACAAGCTCCTGTGCTGCAGTACTTAAGCCTGGTCTCTAGCGGACACCATTTATGAGCTGTTACATACGGTTGCAATCACACACAGGCTCAGTGAGGCTTTCCACAGGGCTCACATTTGTTTTCACATTCCCTTTGTAAATGTGGTGCAAATGGTAGCAAATGGACATTAAACAAGGCTTGTACGTGGACTGATCCTTTGTAAATATATAGGTTATTATAAAAGCAAATAATAAGAAGTCAAACTAAAAAACAGCAGCCTCTGCAATAGAAATGAGTGAAAAATGAGTTGTTTTACATATACAGCATTTTCAAATGTGGGTTTTCTGTTTAAACTCTCTTCACTCCAGCCTCAACTTCTCTCTCCATACTAAACCTACAACTTATTTTATATTGCCATGGATACTTGGGATGGAAGACAGTGAGCACCAGCAATCAATTTTTCCACAGGAAACCATTCCAAGAACCCGTCCCACATTGCCAGGCTCCTATATAGGTTTTGCTCAATAGTGCACAATCATTTTCTAAAGGGTATGACTAGTTGCTTCAGCTAGGTACTTCAGCTGCTTGTCTGCAAATACAGAACAGTCCCAAGGCTTTGGCACTGCCCAGGATAATTGCAGCTAACTGAATTTTGCTATCATTCACCACTGCTATGTATTGTTACCTTCCTAAGCAAGATCTGTTAGATTGCAAGAGGAAACATTCTGTAGGGTGCAAAGAAGAAATGCGAGCTGACATTAAATAAATCATTATGAGAATAAAGTACCAAAAAACCCACAATGATAGCTAAACAGAAGAGAGTTCACATAAATTACATGGAATTGAAGATAATACAGGTCTTGAAAGGGAGTAGTAAGAAGCAGTTCATATGATATAAGCATCCCAGGGCAAAAAAAGTAGTTTTAAAAAAAAAAAAAAAAAAAGCAAAGAAAATGGCAATAATAATCAAAGAGTGTAGGCAAACTGCATAGAGAACTTTTACTTACCTTAGCAGTCAGGAATGTGAGCCTTTACTTCTCAGTATTTGTTTCTCTTCTTTGCCTCGTCTCTAGAAATTTGTCCCATCCAGCACTTAGCTTCCATCAGGGCAATATTCAGTTAAGTGCCACAGGGTTATTTCAGTCTTCTATCATATTTCTCCCTCAAAAGAACAACATTGTTATTTTTACGCCTTCTGGAGAAGAGGTCAGTGGAAATCCAGAGGTGGTGGACTGGCCAAGTATCTCCTCAAGCAACAGGAGTGTGTGGTGACTTCCTTCCCTCTTTTCCTTCAGCTGGGACACAGAGCAACTAATCCCCTGGAAAAGTCCTTTCCCTCTGCCATTTCCTTCAGGTGTCCAGCAGCAACACACACAAAATCTCTGCAACCTTGGATCTGCTATGGCCCTATCCATGGCCTTTCCTAGAAAAAAAGGGAGAGTCATAGGTCATGAAAGTGCAAGAGAAATGCAGCCTGGCCTAACCCACCTCCTTCCCTGCTGCTGGAGCAGCCAGCAATGTCCTGCACAGCAATATTCCAGCACCCGAGGACACTGGTTTGACAGCCAGCAGCATAGCACAGAATCACGAAATGGCCTGGGTTGAAAAGGATCACAATGATCATCTAGTTCCAACCCCCTGCTACGTGCAGGGTCACCAACCACCAGACCAGGCTGCCCAGAGCCACATCCAGCCTCGCCCCAAATGCCTTCAGGGATGGGACATCCACAACCTCCTTGGGCAACCTGTTCCAGTGCTTCACCACCCTCTGAGGGAAAAACTTCCTAATATCTAACCTAAACCTCTCTGTCTCAGTTTAAAACCATTCCCCCTTGTCCTATCACTGTCCACCCTTGTAAACAGCCGTTCCCCCTCCTGTTCATAAGCTCCCTTCAAGTACTGGAAGGCCACAATGAGGTCTCTCTGGAGCCTTCTCTTCTCCAAGCTAAACAATCTCAGTTCCTTCAACCTTTCCTCACAGGAGAGGTGCTCCAGCCCTCTGATCATCTTAGTGCCCTCCTCTGGACCCGCTCCAAGAGCTCCACATCGTTCCTGTACTGGGAGCCCCAGGTCTGGATGCAGTACTGCAGATGGGGCCTCACAAGAGCTGAGCAGAGGAGGACGATCACCTCCCTCTCCCTGCTGGCCACCCTTTTTTTAACGCAGCCCAGGACACAGTTGGCCTTCTGGGCTGCAAGCACACACTGCTGGCTCATGTCCAGCTTCTTGTCTACCAGGACACCCAGGCTGTGCCAGGTTGTGTTCAATAGGGCACAAGGTTAGTATTGCAGATACTGCCTTATTGAAGTAGGAGAATATACTTGATGGTTGTTTATTATTGTCATCAATTTGAGTAGCTCCAATTTAAAAGTCAACACTACAGATTCTGCTTTTTGATGAGTAATTAGCCTCATTTTTGCCTCACCACATTTATATTCACTGACTTTCAGGGCAAAACCTGAGCTAACACAAAGCACAGTAACAAGGATGCATACTTTGGTACATGTTATTTTACATAATTCTTGTTCAAGTAAATCAATCTGTGGTAAGATCGATTCACTCTTCCAAGGTTACAGAGTTCTTGCAGAAAATGGAAAACTGTAACTTATTCCCCAAGACTTTTTTTTTTTTTTAAAAAAAAAAACCACCTTCCATATATTCCCTTCCATTTGATCAAATAATTTTTTGGGTGTGCAGAGAAGCGTTGCTTTGCAATACTATACAGTCATTTCAGACATTCCCTTTGCTGAACTCAGTTCACTTACCTACAGCAACCTTAACAGATTAGACTAGAAGTACTTGGTAACATACAGTCACTTGTATTCTGCTCATTTCTCAATCTGCCAATATCTTAGTGCAAATTTTCATTTCGCCATTTACAGCTCAATACAACTAATAGTTGCGGTACTTTCTCTTCCCTCTACATGTTGCAATTCTCCCCACATCCTTCCCAGGGGAAGCATCGTGTCCTCCTGGCTTGATCACATTAAATGCCTATTACTACAGGAGTAAAAACTCTCTTTAAAGCCTTTGTAAAACCCAGCCTTTAAATCACCATGGACTGCTACCTAGCACACCTTAGACTTTTAAAGGTATATCCACTCCTTTCTTTAAAACCCAGCTCACCAAAACAGCCTTTTGTTAAATGTAGTTCATCTTGGATTCTGGACTTCTGAAGGGAGGAAGCTTTCTGACAAGGATGCTCTTACTTCTTTAGTCCTTGCCAGCATACATTTCATTTTTTTTAATATGGCTTTTACCATTCTTTCCCAAATATTCCAAAACTTGCTCCTTAGTTCCTGCTCTTTTAATTGATCATATAAGGGACTTCCTCCAGCCTCTATTCATATCAGGTGGCTGAATGCAAACTGTTCCCCAGATCAGATCCATTGGTGAGCGTTGAGACCATTTGATCACTGCTATGGATGTGGAAGTAAGCTGATATAGTGAGACACTCAAACCATACAGCATACCCATTATAAAGACAAACAAATATATTAAGCCAATAAAATAGCTGCACCCCTCTCCCACTCAAAGAGGAATGGATCAGTTCCCATGCTTTTCACACAGATTTTTCTTGTAACAGTACAACAGCAGGTATACCACTATCATTTGTCAAGTCCACTGGATAATAGAGCCTTTAGAAAACATTTGAAATTAATGTTCCTTGGTTCTCCCATTCCAGCAACGTTATTTCATTCTTCCCCATTTTCAAAGTATTCTCTCAGCATAGACATTGCAAATAGTTATAAATTGTTGAATATACAGTAATAAGGATTTTATTCTAAAACTAATTGCACTCTTTATAGCAGACATTAAAAATCTAGCTTACTTCTAGGCCTCAAAGTACTGTTATTTCATTATTTTTTTGTGTCCCAAAGCGTTTCCTATTATATATTACAGCCCTAAAATTGCCTACAGAAGTCTCAATTAGCCAGAACTTATTTCCTCATCAGCATTTCCTGACTGCATAATCACTTCTCCCTGTCACCCTTTTGAAACCCCAAGTATTTCTTACTGCAGAAAAGGTATAAAAAATTTAATTCCCCGGGTCCTCTTCTGGTGAGGGGTCGTTAAGCCCTCCTCAGGGGAGCAGCAGAAGGTTCTTGACAGGCGATGCGGGCAAAGCTGTGGCCCTGGGATACATTTGTCAAAGGCTGCCATCCTGGCTCACTTCTGTGCTATAACTGTATCTTCTTTTTCCCTGGGTTTTTCTTTCAGCCTCAGGACACGCTTTTTTTTTTTTTTATATATATATAACTATTTCCAGGAGTTTAAGTACACTTTATTATTTTCAGTGATGTCCCACCTTCCATTTCTTACTCTTTCCTTCATGTTATTTTTAACTGCTAATCAAATCCTCTTGAATACTCACATTTTGACATATTTGCTGTCTTGCCCCTGTCCTTTAATTTCATTTTTATGTTGGCCACAAGAGTTTGCCATCTGATATCGATGGTGTGCTTCCAGTTTTACATAAGACTCAGGTTGTATTTCTAAACTGTTCTCCAACCGCAATCACTTCTTCATGGATTTAGTCTCTTCATTTTTATGATGCATCTTTGATACATAAAAAGGTATTTGAAAGGAAAACCCTGTACTTTGCATTTACTGTTCTAAAGCAGGCCTCAGTGCTGCTCACTTCTTCCTTTTCCCTTAAAGCAGCCAGTGATAGATACTGAAAAACAGCTGCTTCACCTCCTCCTCCCCAAAAAGTCTGCAGCCTTCCTCAGAATCTTATCCCCTTTGAAGATTACCTTTTTCATGTTACATATTTGTTGGCAGGGCACAGAAAGCTTTCTGGGCACCATATACAGTGATCCCTGGATTTGTTTCCATTTGCATGAAGAAGTTAATTTCTTGCCTAAAGTTTAAAGGAACCCCCTTCTTCACAACTCCTGTGAACTTTCTCTCCTCACTCTTACTTTGCTTTCATTATTTTTCCTCTACAATTCACTGCTGGTTTTATTCTTCATCAAATCTTGATTTATTTTGCAGCTTTGTTCCTCACTGTGAGATTTTCCACTCTTCTTGCTGTTTTAGGCCAATGACCTTGCTCATTAAATACTTCCATCAGATTTAACCATACAAATCCTTGCTTTTGTGGAAGATGTTAGAGATCTGCTTTTTTGATACGTGGATGGTGTTAACTCAAAGTCTATTCCAGTAATGGGGGTTACTTTTGTTATTTTCCGTTTTCTTTCACCCTGTAGCAGCCATGTCTGATAGCAACAGGCACTGTGTGCAATGCTGTGTGAAGATCTGTGGGTACTTTTTTGGTTGGGGGGTGAGAAGGTAGGAGGACAGACAGGATTTTTTATTTTAAGTACAGTCCCCTGAATAGAAGACAGGGAGCAATGACATCCACAAATCATCCCATCTTCTCCATAAAGCTCCTGCCTGAGCAGTGATGCACTTCCACAACACTTGGTGGTCCCCTAACATCTGAAAGGTATTCAGGAATTCAAAACTACTTCAGCTGAAGTCAGTGGCAAGATTCAGCTACTGAGGAAGTGTAAAAACACAATTTTAGGTGTTTTGGTTTGGCACAGCATCAACAGCAATTGTATAAGGACAACATGCAAAGGGCTGCTAGCTAAATTTGATTTCTGCATAGAATAATTTGTATTGCATACCTTTCTTGTTCACAGCTATTTCACACCCCTAAACAGCTATGATTCCACTGAAGTGAAGGAACAGTTAAACAGCAACTCTCTGCTTGAAGGACACAAAACAGGGATAGGGTGCAGTCTTTTGTTCTCTACATATCTCAAGCTGGATATTGATTCTGCACAGCTCCTCACTCTGATGAATTAGACAACTCTCTGACTCCACATTACCTACACACAGTACCAGTATTCTTTCATTAAAAAGAAAAGAGATGTTTACTATTATTGCTCAATGGGCATCTTCTAACTTCAGTTTCTCATTTTAAAATAGTATATCCAAAACTTTCCTCTGAAACTTCTTGCACAGTCCCCACCGGGGCAGCTGAGGTTGCTTTTAGTTTCGCGAACACAAAATGCATCATACCTCTAACTGAAAGGAGAGGCACAGATTCATTTACCTTAGAGTAGCATACGATCTAGCAATGGGACTTCTGGCGTAGGATGCGAGATACAGAAGTCCCAAGCTCGTGCTACCTCTGATTTACATCAGGACAATACTTGTCAAGTGTATTGTGTAATGGTCTGTGCCATATGATCATGACATCACAGTCACATTTCTAAATACAGCCTGAGAGATGGTGAGAAGTGACAGACCACAGGAGGCCCTGAAAGCAAGACTTTTATGAGCAAAGATGCAGAAAGAAGCAAACAGAGATCAGGCTTTCCTGCTGAAACTGGTTCACTTCAAGCAAGTAACAAAGTACTCAGTAGGCCAGAAGAAAGACTTCAACTTTAAAAAAAATAAAATA